TCCACTTTACATATGTGCAGTTTAGTTTATTTCTATAGTACCTAAATAAAGATGTAAAACAACAATATAAAAATAAATAAAGGGATAGCTAAGGATCATCAGATACTTAAAGAAAGCTCCAATAAGAAATACAGAGACCAAAACAAACATTCAAAGGTAAACAGAAAGGAACTGAAGGAAATAGAGACCACAAAGGGACAAGAATTTTAAAAAGAGAGAGAGAGAGAGAGAGAGAAAGCTCTAAATAGTATCCTCGTAGATAAGAATGGATTTTACATCAATGAAACAAAACCGAGGTGCTATTCAAAAGGCAAGAGATCTTGAAAATTAAAAAAAAATATGATTGTCAAAGTTGATTTTTTTTTTTTTTTTTGCGGTACACGGTCCTCCCACTGCCGCGGCCTCTCTGGCCACGGAGTACAGGCTCCAGACGCGCAGGCCCAGTGGCCATGGCTCACGGGCCTAGCCGCTCCGCGGCATGTGGGATCTTCCCGGATCGAACCTGTGTCCCCTGCATTGGCAGGCGGACTCTCAACCACTGCACCACCAGGGAAGCCCCAAAGTTGATTTTTAAATAGAAAAGTTAGTCTATCAAGTTTAGGATATTTCTAAGACGTTCAAAAAACTAAAGATATGGAAAACCAGTGAGAAAAAAATACATAAGATTAAACTAATAAATCTAATCCTCAAAAGACTTTTGGAGGAGCAGAGTGGAGCGGCCAGTGTTGCCTAATGCTCTGTTTTGAAGAACAGCCAGCGGTGCAATGGAGCAGACCAGGGACTGCTCACACCTGAAACGGACCACAGAACAGGCACATACCAGAGGTGGAAGTTCAAGTCACACGTAGAAGGACAACCTCACCAAGCGATCAAGAGTGTCCACTGTGCCCGCAGAGATCTCAGCAGCAGCAAGTACCCGTGGTAGATTTTAAGGCAAAATTGACGTGGACATTCTTAGCTGAGACACCAAGAGGTGGGTAAAGCTGTATTGGAATAGCCAGGTAGCTGATTGAAGCAAAAAAAAAAAAAAAAAGCTTTATCTAGTCTTTGAAGATTCTGCCCCAGCTTGCCTTGTTTGTAGGAGAACCTGCGTCATACCTCTAACTGTAGCCTTCCCTTAGGTCTCAAGGATCCTGAAACCTTCCAGGGGACATTAGATTTGGTGGAATGGCAACCATGACTGTGGAAAGAGCAACAAGATGCTGCAGTGCATTAACTGTAGATTGAGATGTATCTTGCAAGGTGGCCAAATCTTCATTGGCATCTTTAAGGCTTTTGACGAACATATGAACTTGATCCTCTGTGACAGGAATGAGATCAAGGAGATCAGGTTAAAGAATCCAAAGCAGCCAGAGCATGAAGAAAAGCAGGTTTGGGGTCTGGGGTTGCCACATAGAGAACTTGGTTTCTGTGACTGTGGAGGGTACACCCCCAAATATACTGACATTGCTTGGGTACCACTTGCTGGAACTACAAGAGGTCCTGGGGTTGGCAAGGCAGCTGACTGAAGTGTACCAGCTAGTGTTCCAATTCCCCAGGCTCCTGCTGGATTAGCAGGTCCTGTCCGAGGGGTTGGGAGGCCATCCCAACAGGTAATGACTCCAGGGGAGAGGCACTGTAGCTGCTACTGCAGTGGCTGCTACTGCCAGCACTGCTGGAGCCCCAGCCCAGGACTCACCAAGGCAGGGGACTCCACCCACACCTGTTGGTCCAGCAACCCCAGCTCCAGGCCTTACGGCTTCTCCACCTGGTATGAGACCACCCATGGGCGCACCAATTGGGCTTCCCCCTGCTCAAAATTCAGAGGTAGGTAGAGGACTGCTGTTTTGATTGTAATACCGTTTGGGTGTTTTAAATTGTGAAAACACACATTTGGTCAAACTAGAAATTATTTTTTTAAAGACATTTTAAAAATCTTTTACTTTTTAAAAATTTTATACATAGACCATTCATTCATATTATGTATTATATCCTCACCTGTATTCTCAATTCCCTCTCATTTATTCCCCATACCTAATCCTTTCCACAACATGTCATGACCGCAAATATGATTTGAACCCGTTTACTTCTCTAAGTCTTCTGAAGTCCAAGGCTTCATCATCTCTCATCTGGAATACTGCCTAGTCTCCCAACAGATGTCCTGTTTTCACTCTTGCCACCTTCTGATCTATTCCACACACAGCAGTCAGGCTGATGTTTTAAAGATGCTGAGTACAAGTCACACCCCTGCCCGGATCCCTTCAATAGCCCCGGATTGTCCTCTGAATAAATCCAAAGTCAGCTCAGTCTCTGAGCTCCCGCATCTTCGGGCTCCTGCTTCTGTCTCCAGCATCATCTTTCTACCACTTTCTTGTTCCTCCACTTGCCTTTGCACATGCTGCTTCTCTGGCCTCGAACGTTTCCCCAGCACTCTTTCCTTGATTTTCTCTCATGCTTTAGGATTCAAGTTAAGTGCTGCCATTTTTTTCTTTCTCTCACCACCATGTCAATTCTCTCCACAGTATGTACCATTTGTAATTGCGTATTTACTTATTCACTTGCTTATCTTTGTTTCCTCCACAGGCTCTAAGCTGCATGAGACCAGGAACTTTGCTTTGTTCACTGTTGTATCTCTAGTACCTAGAATATCCCCTGTCACAGAGTAAGTCCTTAATCACTCCTGACTGAATCAATCAGTGAATGGAATATACAATAGGACAGTTTTTCCTCAAAAGTGTACATAGAACCACTGAGGAGATCTGGGTTTTTTTTTAAATTTTATTTATTTATTTTTTTTAGGAGATCTGTTTTTAAATGCACATTCTGATTCAGAAGATGTGGGATGGGGCCTGAGATTCGGTGTTTCTGAAATGCTCCTGCGTGATGTCAAAGTTACCGGCACCTTATTCACACTTTTGACTAGCAAGGCTAGAGGGAATATAAAAATGAGCGGTGGTGATGTTTGCCCTGTAGGGAGGAGCTTAGGATCTGATAATGGAGTTCCCTCATAAAGATGATCTAAATCACCACCACTTGATGACTTCCATTGCTATAGGAAGCAAGTAAGACCTAAAATTGTTTGAGATTGGGGTCGATGTTGACCTTACCCAAACGTTATACAAGACCAACATAAGGCCATGTCTAGCTATAACAAAATCATTCAAAGAGTTGTAACAAAATACAGAATTTACAAGAAGCAATTGGTAATTCAGTCTATAGGAATAGAGATCCTTTATAACAAAGCAATATATGTCGTGGGACAGACAGATGAGAATCTGAATTTCACTTTGTCCTTGGGTAGCTGTGCAACCTTAAGCAAGTAATTTATATTCTCTGAATCTCAGTTTCATCATTTATCAATTGGGGCAAATGATACCCACCTTAGAGGTGTGCAGATGAAGTGAGGTCTCACATATCAGTTAAATAACTGTGCCTGGCGTTTGGTAGTCCTTAAAAATATCAGGTCCACCTGTTCCTTTCTTAGGTAGAAGATTATTTTCCTTATAACATTTATTTTCCAGGTGGTGAAAGAATTAATATTTGAATGTATGTTTGTCATCTTTAACATCTCAGAGGGAAAACAATTAGGAAAATAAATAAATATGTAGGTTAAAATCAGGCATTTTGGTCTAAATGAAAACCAGACCATGGATCAGAAAACTGAGTTCTGGTCCAGGATCCAACTCAAACTAAACAAGTGACATAGGACATATTATTTAACATCTCTGGGTCTCTGTATTATTTCTATATCATTATATATACTTTGTTAAATACATTAATTATCTTCTTATGGGAAATCATTATTCTTCAAAAACATGTGATTTTATATTTCCCTTTGAAATATCAGTAATTTCCACAGAAATACTAAAATTTCAGAATCATTGTTAATTAAAACTAGGATTGGAAAACAGTTTTTTTCCTCCTAAAATCTCTACTAAACACCCTCAAACTCTATTACTCAGTTTTAAAGAAATATATGCAGTCAGAGAACTTAAAATTTTACCTGGAGAACTTCCACCTTTTCTAGATTATACAGACATACACATTTTCACTGACAGTTAGAATTTGTTTTATCTGCTATATATGATCTTAAGTTGTCATAACTTAGAATATTAAATATGACTTAGAAATTCAGGAAAAAAAGAACAATTTGGAAAAAATAAATTAAATCTTTTCCTTCAAAATAATTGTGATGTTTCTATGTAATAATAGAAAAAGTCAGTGAAAAAACTGCTTGGCTACAGTTGTTTCTCTATTTAAATGCTGACAAATGAATTTACGGGTTGAAAATTATTTTTATGCCTTTAATCCTCCTCTTCCCACTTCATTATAAATGGCTTTCAATTGTCTTCTGTATATTTTTTTTAATGTAATTTGCCCTTATATCTCAATCTGCTACTGAATGTTCATGGATTTAAGCCCCTAGCAGTATTTGAATTTAGGTAGACACTTCAATGTCCCTGGCTTCATTCTTTGCATATAAACATATTGTTGATATTCTTAATCACTTCTTTTTACCATTCCTTACTACAAACGTCTCTTTAATCCATGAAAATCCACTCTGGTACTTTACAAAGATGGCAAATTCAAGTTTCTGCTGTGTGTGACACACCATTAATTCCACCAAGATACTCTGTATCTACTACGTTAACATTCACTGATGTGTTAATGTAATAATGACCCATCTGCTTCTGCTGTCTATGAGGTACTTTCTATCTATAGGGATGGAAATTAATGACAGAGTCTCTCTGAACTGCCTGATGTCAGAGCTGGGAAAGGTGTGAAGGGTACATAAGAGCTGGATTACTGGTTAGCAAGTCGGGGAGTAAATGCTCCAGTGGATGCAAGCCTGGTGTTTTTCATGAAGCTTCCTTGTTAACAAAGGTATTTTCTGATATTGCTGACACTGAGACATTAAAAGGTAAGGAATTTTTTGTTGCTGGGCTAGTATTATTTATTTAGCATTAGAACAAATTTGGGATTAAATATATGGTTTATTTCAAAGAAGGGCTAAAGCGATAATGTTGTATAATATTAATTTTCCAGATTGTTTCAAGAAGGAAATTGGGTAAGGGAAAATTTTGAAAATATTTGAAAATTGTTAAGGGACTACATCAATAAAAGTTATACAGCAGAAACTAACACACCATTGTAAAGCAATTATACTCCAATAAAGATGTTAAAAAATTAATTAATTAATTATTTTAAAAAGTAAATACAAAATAGAGAAAAAAAAGAACAGTACATTAAGCTGTTTAACTGTTCCTTAAATTCTGTGTTCTTTAAAGAATAATGTCAGTCTGATAAATCTCTCTGATGAAACTTCTGACAGACAAGAACGGATAGTTCCAGTTTTGTCAGAAATATGCTGCTGGAACTTAGAGGAGCAAAGCCAAAACATGAAGCAAGAAAACCCAAAAGGTAGTAACTTCTGCTATACTAACCAGATTCTCAAACAAACTAGAGAAATTTAAAGCATATATGTTATATGAGGTGGAATTTTACTGTATGTTTATATGTATATATTTTTTTCTCAGCTCTGGCAATATCCAAAACTTTTACATCTCTTTCTGGAAATTTAAATATATAGAAATAATAAAGAGGCAAATTAAATTTGCTAAGAAGTTAAATTTAGAAGCTCTAGTTAAAAAGCCATTTTTTCTTAGGGGGATTCTTTCTATATTGCTAACTGTTCTGTTAATGAAACAGAATTATAATTAAAATATGATTCTTCATGAGACTACTTCCAAGATGTTCTAAATGTAAATTAATACCTCCGAAAATGTTTTAAATAGGTAGCATGTGCATCAGGATTTTTTCAAAAAGCTTATTTTGAAAGGTGTCATTTCATTTGAATGGTAATGTTAAGGAGGTCTAAAACCTATGTAGGGTGAAAACGTTTGCAGTATTTATAACTTTCAAATGAAAAGCCTTTAAAACTGTGATTCTCCATTTATTTAAAAGATCCTTAAGTTCAAATTCATGCATATGTCATAAATAATATAATGAGGATTCATTTGTGCCTAAATTGGTTTTGATTCCATATAGTTTTGTAGAACTGAATTTATACTCTCTTAAAGACCAAGGAGAATAAGGTTACTTTTGAAAAGACTTTGCCTTAAGTCGTATTAGAACTCTTCTCATAGAATTATCTGCATCTTTTCTATTTTCCTTCCAGGTGTTTTTTGTTGAGATGGAAAGATTCCAGGTGTTTGGTGATATGGAAAGATTTCTAAAGCACCTAAGTATAATGAATAATAAGAATCATCGGAAGATTTTTTCTTTTCATTTCAGGGCTTATCTAGTTTACAGGATGTTCTTCTCAGAACTGACTGTAATTTTCAATTGGTTTTCTTCTGGATAAAAATAACTTTAAAACTGCCCTGAAGTTTCTGGTATACTAGCAGAACAATTGAATGATGACAGGAAAATTAGCAATATTACCTAGTATTTCTGTCTATATCTTGATCTTCTCTTTCATTAGATATACTCATTGCTAAGTATTTTTACCCAGTATGTTTTTAAGGATATTCGTTTATTATGAGGTGAACTTTGCTCAGAAATAGAATAGTATGTAACATTATTTATTAACAAATTATATATTCATGCTAGTCATACAATCTCTTACTTTAAATTATTATTAAAAATACTTATAAACCATTCAGCAATTTTTTTCAGGAAACTGAATTTCCTGGCATCAGTATGGTGTGGTCATTTTTTTTTTTAAAGGGGAGGAAGAATTTTATATCTTGAGATGTTCAACCATGTAATATTCTATAAGGCTCAAAAAAAGCTGAGAAAGCCTATGTAGGAAACATCTCAAATTTTAAACACCTTTAAAAAAATAAAGCTGATGAAGATTTATTATTCAATGTCATTTTTTTCACAAAGTCAATCATCTCACTCGAGATCTTTTTCAACTTTTATACACGTATGGTATGGGATTAAGAGGTAACAGACTTTACAAACCATATCAAAACATAGTTATGTTACTTCACACTCATGAGTGAGACGAAAGGATCCCTACCAACTTTTTAAGACTCAGTAGTAACTATCTGCCTGGAGATAATCAGAGGGCCACCAAAAGTATAATTACATGGGTTTCATTCTGGAGTTACTAGGAGCTCCCTACAGGAGCTATAACTATTAAGACCTGGGATAAGGAATCCATTTAAAAACTCTTGAGGGAGTTCCCTGGTGGCCTACTGGTTAGGATTCCAGGCTTTCACTGCCATGGCCAGGTCTCAATCCCTGGTGGGGGAACTGAGATCCTGCAAGCCACACAGTGCGGCCAAAAAATAAAAACTCTTGACACTGAGATGTTTTTAAAGAGAGACAATTTAAGAGTTAACGTTTGGCCTATAGTCAACATCACTGTTTAAACTCTCTTAAAGCCAAGAAGTTCCATGTGTGTGTGCATGTGTGTAAGTGGTCAGTAGTTTTAAACTAGTATTTGTTACTAGCTGGTGGGTTGGCTGGCAGGCCGGGTCTGCCTTGTAGTCAATGAGGAAAAAACACATGAAAATAGGAGTATGGTGCTTTTCACTAACCATTTCAGCCAACTTTTTCCATCTTAATGATAGTTTTGGTGGAATCTTATATATCCTGACTACCATATTTACACAAAAAGTCCTGTTGGGGAAAGCAGGTTCACAATTATGAAACCAACAAACATAAAAGCTCTTAGTTTTTCTTTACAGTAGAATGATGGCCCTCTTAGCTAACTCAAAGAAGGTAATATTTTATTTAGCATAATTTTAAATCCTATTACAGACTTTGAGACCAATTATCAGACGTATCAATTATCAGACATTTAACACATAGAGTAGTATTTCACACTTTGCTCCAGGCATTTGCCAAACATATCCTGGAACAGAAATCCCTTTTTAAAAAAAATAGATTCACTTTTTATATTTATTTATTTATTTATTTTTGGCTGTGTTGGTTCTTCATCGCTGCGCACAGGCTTTCTCTAGTTGCGGCGAGCCGGGGCTACTCTTTGTTGCAGTGGGTGGGCTTCTCATTGCAGTGGCCTCTCTTGTTGTGGAACATGGGCTCTAGGCACGCGGGTTTCAGTAGTTGCAGTGTGCGGGCTCAGTAGTTGCGGTGCATGGGCTTAGTTGCTCCACGGCATGTGGGATCTTCCCTGACCAGGGCTTGAACCCATGTCCCCTGAATTGGAAGGCAGATTCTTAACCACTGCACCACAGGGAAGTCTCCAGAAATCCCTTTGAACCTTCTCAATTTGATCCATATTTCCTTTATTGCTTTAAATTTATAAGTTTGAAGTGTTTGGGTCAAATTCCAATTACTGCTGTTTTTCAGGAAAAGTTTACCATCTTTTAGAATTGAATGTTCAGTGTATGAGTTACTTGTTCAATCCTTTAAAGCATTAAATCATTCTTTGGACATGCACATTGGCCATGTGTACTATACATGCAAAAGAAATAATTAAAGAGATAATATGAATAAGACTGATATACAAACCAGGTAATTCAGCCCCAAAGTTGGTTTCCTTTGCCTGAATAATTGGTTTGTCAACATACACTCACATGCAACAGATACCAGTTTAATGCTGAAAGAAAAATTTTCTGTGTGGGAGAAGATCTGAGAGTAAAAACATAAAGTTTCACTTGCATTTTTAAAATATTTACTCTTAGGCTATCTCTATACAAACTATTAATGAAGTACTCTCCATACAAAATAAACCCATTGAGATCAAAACCATTGCAATTTTGCCTCAAATTATGTATATCCACTGGCTTCTGGATATTGAGTTTTTAGCCTCATACATGTCTCTCTCTTCCGCTCTACACTTAACGTAAGGTTAACCAATATTTTGGTTTCTGTGGAGCTGAGAACTAAAATATTTCCCTAGTGCTCCTAACAACCAGCAAAAAGCAATGTTAAAGTTGTGTCTATTTCCAGTACTGTTATGAGAACACATTAAAACAAAAGATGGTATAAAAATACAGAGTTGGGCTTCCCTGGTGGTGCAGTGGTTGAGAGTCCGCCTGCCAATGCAGGGGACGCGGGTTCGTACCCCGGTCCGGGAAGATCCCACATGCCGCAGAGGGGCTGGGCCTGCAAGCCATGGCCGCTGAGCCTGCGCATCCGGAGACTGTGCTCCGCAATGGGAGAGGCCACAACAGTGAGAGGCCTGCGTACCACAAAAAAAAAAAATACATATATATATATATACATGTATATATATATATATATACACACATATATATGTATATATGTATATATATATACATATATATGTATATATATATACATATATATATATAGAGAGAGAGAGAGTTGATGTAAACTCTGTAACTAGAAAGAGAAGTTAAAATTCAAACAAATTACAGTTATAATTTCTGACTTATCCATAATATTATTATGCAGTTGTTCCAGGTGGCTGAAAGAATATGATGAATATTAATACCATTGACATAAAAAGCCTTTCTGTTTTAACATTTAAACCAATTCTATCATTAAAATTGTTGAATGCATAGGAACCTAGTAGGTGGCAGGAACATGGTAATCTCCATTTATTTAGGCTAATAGTAATAGAATTCCCACACTATAAAGGTCAAAGTGCCTGAACAGGTGATAAAATTGATTCCCTTGAGACTTTATAATATCTGACATTTCTCTTAACACTACTAATTCAATGATCCCAGGAAACCCAACAAAAATTAACTAACACTACTTAATTCTTATTGGAAAGATGCAGGAAATGAATGTATATATATTTTAAGTCTACATATTCCAGGTTACATATATATTTTACTTTCTAAGTCCTTTTTTAAATTGGGAAATAGATTAGTCAGTATTTAAAAGCATATAAGACAAAGACATTATTATTATCATCTTGAATATATTCTGAATTTCCAAAGAAAGGATCACACTGGGAAATTCAATACTGACTATAATGGAGGGTTTGCTATATGATTTCCAAGCTGCATCTTCAAGGTGTCCAAAAGCTCTGTCAATCATCCAGATATTTGCAAATCAAAATATTGGATTATTAATGTGAAGATGTCTCCTCTACGTTTCATCACATACATAATAGCTGTACCCAATCCTGACTCCAGGTCTCTAACCTTTAATATTTGTTCAATGTCACCAGTCATCAAATGGAAAAGCGGAAATGCTACACTGCCACTTGTGCAACTCCAACGCCTGGAAAATTTTTTAGTTTGGTCCAGCAACAACCTTGGCGCCATTTTCTCACCTACCAAGGTAGGATCCAATACATACGGCAAGAGGAATACAGTTGAGATTTTAAAGAGAGAACCCCTGAATTACTCCCTTTAGAGGTCAGTGCACCTCACAGTTCTTATTGTATAAATACTCTAGTGATTTGCTGTAGACTTTAACAGTGCTTCTTCATTTCTGGAGTGAATATATGAATGTGTCCCATGTTTGTTGCCAGGACATATAAATTGCCATGTTAAGAATTGTTTTAAATTTGATACAAATTAAGATCCCATAATAAAAAGACAGCCTTTAAAAATGAAATATTTTGGCTGTAGATTTTTATTTTTAAAACATTTTAAAAAGTCATTACTTTGGCCTGTATCTTTATGACCTGAGTTTGAGAACAAAGGAGAAAATGGTTCCTGGAAACTTGATAAATTGTAAACAAGTAATAGTAAAGTTCTAATTATAAACATTAGAAAACCAGCAATTGTAAGTACACTTGTTAAGCAATTCCTTTTTGCATTAGATTTCTGAAATGAGATAAAGTGCTGCTTAAAACAATAAATTAAAACCTTCTCCTGATTCAGTCAAAATATTTTTGTTTAATTCTGTTTTTTGTTGTACTTGCTGGTACTAAGATGTAACTTAAAAATTTAAAAAGCAATGTCCCTGAGGGTTTCATTGGGAGTTATCATCAGTGAGATTTTATTAAATGTACGTGCCCTTTATTCTAAGTGGCTTTCAGCAAGTCTTAGTCATATTCTTATACAAGGTACTGAAAAAGCAATTTATGTTCCTATTAACTATGTATTCATTTAAAAGACTATAGACTTCTGGAAATTATGTACTCCATGGCAACTTATTTTCATAGTTTAATTAACTGGACATTTCTGGCAGAGGTTCTGTTTTTGATGCCCTTTGTTTGGAAGGAAGCTGAAGTACTGAACACGAAGTGAAATGTTTTGCTTTAAGTCAGATTCTTATGTGGTATCTGCTTTTCCGTGACTCTGAGTTTCATACTTTGGGAAGTAGTATTAACTCATATAAACTGCTATCATGCTGCATTATGCATTTCTAAAGGCAGTCAGCTTTTATTTTAAAAAGAAAATAGAAAAAGGAAGCATCTCAATCTTAGTGAGAATCCGACTCATTGACTTGATTGCTACATTAAAATTTCCCCTTACGAAGTATGCCTTAGATCACCAGATTATAGACTTTGTTGTTGTTTTGCTTGTTTGTTGGGGTTTTTTGGAGTATATAGAGACAGAAGATGTTATTTAGAGTGATTTTATGTCATGAATTGCATACTGAAATAAATGAGTACATAAATTCCTATTTGTGATGTTCAATTGTTAGCCTCTTTCAAAATGGATATGAGCACATTTTAAAGTGAGTAAGGTACAATTAAATTACAATCTCTTAAACTCACTTATTTAAAAATTTTCCCACAGTCGTCTACATTAAGTAACACCTTATTGCATCTCACATCTATATCAACTCCCCAATCTATCTTTCAAGCATTAATGAGATCTTAATGAGCGCATATGATATTCAAGGACATTGTATACAGCAGTACACAATTCCCAGATATAAAACAAGAAGAATTAATGTATAGTAACCTAAGGACCTCTAGTGCTAAGGAGTTGGATAGAGTTAGGGTTACTATGTCACTTATTCCAACCAGGAGACTTTTGAGAAGGAAAGAGGTTATTACATTGATACAATAGACATTAAGAGTAGATGTTATTCTAAAGTTTACTCATTACATTTATTATCAAGGTGAAACATTTGAACAAATTCAGCATTATTTCCTTAGTTGGTATTCGTAGGCCAGTAGGAGTCTAAATATATAAAGGTTGGGAATGCCTTATGTACCAAATACATCCCCTGGTTCCTCATAATTAAATAGCTTGTGAAAATAATGATTAGTTTTTCTTTATTGATGTAACTGCAAATATAAACAGTAAGTTTTGGTGACTAAGTTTATCCCAACTCTTCTCATTGTGCCTGTGGTGCATGAAATCATAAGTACTCTTGAGTACACTTCCAAATACTTATGTCCATGCTACAAATTATATTTTATTGAAGATTTAGAAATAAAAATGCTTCTTATATTGATCATGTTGCAATAGAGAGTCATAACAAAGAATTTATTTATTAATACTGCATTTAGTACTTCTAGAAATTCTCTTTAATCATTGGGAGAGGACATTCTGCAATAAGCCTCTTACTTTTCTGAAGCCTGAATATCATTACCTGGTAATATTATGCTGAGATGAAATAACACCTTTTGGTTAACAGTAGAAAAGCCTGTGAGTCTAAAGCTCCTTTGGCTGAGTGCAGGGAGAGCTTTTTATATAATGTAGGAGAAAGTATTCTTTTTCTACCCATTATTTTCCCTTTCACATACACACTACCCAAAACTATGGAAAAATCCATCTTCCTTACACTCAGTGCATCTGTAGTAGACATTATTAGTGCTCAACGACATCCTCTCCTTCCTAAGCATACAAGGGAGTATAGTTCTCAGACCCTTGCATTCAGGCGGTGCTATGTGGCTCATTCTGGTCAATGAAATATTAGCAGAAATGATGTGTGTCACATCTAGGTTGACACAATAGGTTAAAAAACCTATGTGAAAATTTTCAATCTTTCTCTACTCTGCTGCAGCCGTTGCTGGTGAGGCGTCCCTCTGGCTGGGGCCCTGAGTGACTTCATGGAGAAGAACTCTCCTACTGGCCTGTCTTGGACATGGAGTATGACCAAGAAATAAACTTTTGTGACTTTTTATCTACAGTGTACCAAAACAAAATAACCAAAGTCAAACTTTCATCCTACCTAATGAACGTACTTCTCCTCCTGACTCTATTATATCTAATAGCAGCGTAACCATTCTTCCACAGTAATTCAGCCTTGATATCTTGAAATTATCACCGATTGCTCAAATTCCTTGCTCCCCACATTCCAATTAGTTACCAGGACATGTGTACTCTACGTCCTTGCTACTAGGATATGTCTCTTCTTTCTTCTCCCATTGCCAGTAACGTAGCTCCAGCTTTCTTTGTGCAAGCCAGGATCTCTGCAACAGGCTGCTGAAATAGTTTTCCACCTCCAATATTTACTGCCATTCTATACGTTGATACCAGAATAAGTTTCCAAATGCACATTTCTTATTATATCAGTTGTTCTATGCAAAAATTTTCAAAGACTTGTTATTATCTACAAAAATACATCAATTTTTTTAGCCTATCATTCAAGTCCCTCCATAAAGTAACCCCTACCCTCTTTTCCAGGGTTACCCCACATCATTTCATTTCTTATACATACACTCTGCCAAACTCCTTTTTTAGTTGTTTCTGTTTAACTGATATCATCACATTTTCTCTTGTTTTCCAGGCTCTGACTCTCCCCTCCATTCCCTCCAAATTGAACGAATGCCCCCCGGGGCAGCCTTTTGAAATCTTTCAATGACAAAGTCAAGAATCTTTCATCATTGCCCTACTGAATATGATTTCTCCACCCACTGAGCTCTAACCACACTTTGAAGATATCTTTTAGATTCAAAAGAAATCTGATATTAAAGTATCATATTATTACTATTTTATTCATATTAAAATACTCTATTATAATGTTATATTATTGCTGTATTATTTGTGTGACTGAACATTTCTCTTCAGCATTGCTAGATTCCTAACTAAGGGCGGAGACCGAAACTTAGTCATTCTCCATTTCACAAATTTCCTACTTCACAATCAAGAAGATTAAGCCTATCTACACATTCTGGAGAATGTTAGGCTACTTGGGCATTTTCCATCTTCTGTCCTTGATATTGTGCTGGCATAGAGCTTAACTGCTCTTATCTTCTGAAAATAACTTGATATTTATTTACCACCAGCATCTTTTGGTTGACAATGGATTCAGCCAGCCATCCCCAACCTTTTTGGCACCAGGGACCGGTTTCATGGAAGACAATTTTTCCAGGGAGTTGGTGGGTGGAATGGTTCAGGCGGTAATGTGAGTGATGCAGAGCAATGGGGAGCGGCAGATAAAGCTTTGCTCGCTGGCCTGCCGCTCATTTTCTGCTGTGTGGCCCGGGTTGGGGGGTTTGGGGACCCCTGGATTACACAATTGTGCTTTCTAAACATATCATACAGCTTATGGAAGAAGCAAGTACTATCATTTTATCCCAGGGGTGTTTTACCATGTAACTAAAAATAATGGATAAATGGCTATGGAATGTATCTTCATCATACCAGAACATATTAATTATGGTTTTCTTGATTTGCATGACTAAATCCTTTGGGAAATGAATTCCACCTCCAAATAAACTAAACATAGTATTACACAATTAAATATTAAATTCCATTAAATAATAATTAAAATAAAAATTCTAAATTTTCATAACAAGTAAGATTGAGTAAATTCCATTAAAATGGTTTTTCTGGTGGAGTGGGACAGGAGCAAATGTTTCTCAATTTATTGAAAGAAAAGTGCTCTTTCATTTGAAAAATTACATATGCTAGCCTATGTTCCTTCCCCCTTATTATTTATTGATTTATAACATACATTTCATTCATGAACAAATTTCATAAACAAAATTCAAATCTCTGCCTATTGCTAAAACTTTGGAAATTTTAAAATTTTGATCATTTTTGTGTAAACATAGTAATATGCATTGGCCATTCATCTCCATGCTGCTCTTTAACCTACATTATTTGGACATTTCCACCGACTAAAAAGTCTCTGCTTTGAGACATTTATTAATAGTGCACATTGAGATATCGAAGAACACAGTGAGTCAGAGTTCTGTGGAATTTCCAACAGAAGAAATAAAGACACAGAACACATTAGAAATTTATCTATGACGCTCAGACATGACAATCAAACTTGAGAGTTCTGGTCAGTCAGGAGAGAGATGGATTAAGTATTCGTGCTGAGTAGGTTTATCATTTTAGGAGCCAAACAGGAGCTTAGAGTTTACATATTAACAGCCAGTTGTTTTTCTGTGAGGCTACATGTGACTAAGTTAAAATAGCTATATCATTTGGCTTGCAATTAGTATCCTTAATGTTATAAAAATTGTCACACTTTATATTGTCTGGAATTAGGACAAC